CAGATGAAATTTAAAGGTTTTACTTTTTTAGGTCAGATAGCAGATGTGATATTTTATCAGTAACTATCAGTAACTTGATGATCTTTAGCCATAAAACCTGGCTATCATCTGACATTGTTTGACTTTGTCTAGCCAATGGTAACTATTATAGATAATTGTGTGAATGTCTGTTTCTTCTCTATATAAATCCCTATAGGGCAGGAATGCATTTTATCCATTTTTGTTCCTTCCCAAGATCTACAGCAACTTGCATGTAGTAGAAAATTAATCCATCCTGATAGAATTGAGTGGAGATTTATTATCTGGGGCAACCTGCTTATATGTAGACAAATGCAGAGGGGGACAAGATATGGTCACTAGTGAGTCTGCCTGAGCCCCATATCTAAAAAACTTGAAGAGTCACAGTCTCAGCATTGTATTTTTCTAAAGTATCTGGCCACTCACACCAATGCTACTCAAACTTCCAAACTCATTCTATGAACCCAGCATGACCCTGATACCAAAGCCAGGCAAAGACACCACCAAAAGTAAAATTCCAGATCAATATCCCTCATGAATATAGATGCAAAAATTCTTAACAAAATTCTAGCCAATAGAATTCAACAACATATCAAAAAAAAAATACATCGTAACCGAATGGGATTCATACACCACATATGCAAGGATGATTCAGCATTAGAAAATCAATAAATGTAATCTACTACCTAACTAAAACAAAAGAACAACATGATCAGCTCAGTCAATGCAGAAAAGGCATTTTATGATGAAGTCCAACACTCATTCCTGATAAAAACTCAGCAAAATAGGAGTAGAAGGGAAATGCCTCGGTATAATAAACAGCATTTACGTAAAAGCAGCAGCCAACATTCTTCTCAACAGAGAGACTGAAAAAATTCCCTTTGAAAATGGGAACTAGACAAGAATACCCTTTTATCTTCACTCCTATTCAACATTGTACTGAAAGGCCTAACTAGAGCAATTAGGAAAGAAAAGGAAATAAACAACCTTCAAACTGGCAAGGAAGAAGTAAAACTATCTCTATTTGCAGATGATATGATCTATACATAGAAAATCCCAAAGACTTCACAAGAAAGCTACTGGAACTAATAGAAGGATTCATCAAAGTAGCAGGATATAAGATCAGCATACAAAAATCGGTCAGATTCCTCTACACCAACAAAGAGAACTTCGGAAGGGAAATCAGCAAAACAATACCATTTACAATAGTCCCCCGAAAGATAAAATACTTAGTAATAAATCAAACCATGGACATAAAAGACTTATATAAAGAAAGCTATAAAATGCTACTGCAAGAAACCAAAAAAGACCTATATAAATGGAAAAACATACCAAGCTCATGGATAGGAAGACTTAATATTGTAAAAATGTCAGTACTACCCAAAGCTATCTGTAGATACAATGCAGTCCCAATCCAAATTCAAACAACATTTTTTAACGAGATGGAAAAACTAATCCCAAACTTTATACAGAAAGGAAAGAGGCAACAGATAAGTAAACCATTACTGAAGAACAAGAACAGAGTAGAAGGCCTCACAGTTCCTGATCTCACAATCTGCTACACAGCCACAGTAGTAAAAACAGCCTGGTACTAGAACAATGACAGACACATAGACCAATAGAACACAGTTGAGAACCCAAAAGTAAATCCATCCACCTGTGGACATCTGGTCTTCAGCAAAGGGCCAAAGTGCATTAAATGGGGAAGAGAGAGTCTCTTTAACAGATGGTGCTGGCAGAACTGGATATCTGTCCATAGAAAAATGAAACAGGACCCAGACCTTACAACATACATGAAAACAAACTCAAAATGAATGAAAGAGACTTGGCGGCAGCCACTGCACACACAGACTCCACTCGTTCACTTCCTGACAAACCCGATATGGCTGAGATTGAGAAATTCGGTAAGTTGAAATTGAAGAAGACAGAAATGCAGGAGAAAAATCCACTACCTTCAAAAGAAACGATCGAATAGGAGAAGCAAGCAGGCGAATTGTAATGAGGTGGTGCCGCCAATATGCACTGTACATTCCACAAGCATTGCCTTATTTTCCTTCTTTTAGCTGTTTCACTTTGTAAGATGCAAAGAGGTTGGATCAAGTTTAAATGACTATGCTGCCCCTTTTCACATCAAAGAATCAATAACTACTGACAAGAAGGTTGCACCTGCCACACCCATCAGCCTGTCTGGCTGGCAGGGAAGGAAAAGAATTTGCATGTTGGTGAAGGAAGGAACTGGGTGAGACAACAGTGAATAAATATGTTGAGTAAAAGCAAAGCTGTTCCAAGGCGTCCTACAGGTGTAAAATGCAGTTTAATCAGGGTGCCTTTTTTTTGTTTAAACGATTTTAATTATTGGAATGCACGGTTTTTTAAATATGCAAATAAAAAGTTTTAAAACGTGAAAAAAAAAAATGGATCAAAGACCTAAATATACTCAACCTACAGCTATAAAGATCATGGAAGAAAAAATAGGGACAGCCCTAGGGACATTAATACATGGCATAAATGGTATACCAGCCATCACTAAAAATGCCCAAACAGCACAAGATAAGCTAGATGAATGGAACCTCCTAAAAATTAAACAGTTAAGCTTATTGAAAGATTTCTCCAAAAGAGTAAAACAAAAAACCTACAGACAGAAAAAATTTTCAGCTACGACATATCCAGCAAGCGGTTAATCTGTAAAATCTATAGAAAACTTCACTACCTCAATAACAAAAAGACAAACAATCCAATTGAAAAATGGGCAAAGGACACAAACAGACACTTCTCCGAAGAAGACATTCAGGTGGCTACCAAACACATGACAAAGTGCTCGCCATCATTAGCCATTAGAGGGATGCATATTAAAACTACAGTGAGATACCATCTCACCCTGACATAAGTGGCACTGATCAAAAAAATAAAACAACAGATGTTGGAGAGGTTGTGGGGAGACTGCAACTCTTATTCACTGCTGGTGGGAATGTAAAATGGTACAACCACTACGGAAAACAATATCCCATTCCTAGGTATATACCCTAGAGAAATAAGAGCCGTGACGCAAACAGACATATGCACCCGTGTTCATTGCAGCTTTATTCACAATAGCAAAAAGATAGAAACAACCTAAGTACCTATCGCCAGACGAATGGATAAACAAACAGTAGTATATACACACCGTGGAATATTATACAACAATAAAGATTAACAATCAATCTGCAAAACATCTCACAACATGGATGAATTAGGAAGGCATTATGCTGAATGAAATAAGCCAGTCACAAAAGGACATTGTATGAAACCACTATTGTAAAAAAATACAAGAAAAGGTTTACACACAGAAAAAAAAAAATCTTTGATGGTTACCAGGGAAGAGAGGGGGAGGAAGAGTAAATTACTAAATAGGTAAAGACACATGGTAGTATTGGTGAAGGGAAAGGCAATACACTGTATGGGGAGAATCAGCACAACATGGCAAAGGCAAAGGAAGACACTAAAAGGAACACAAGAACAAAGTGCAACTATGGCAGCTACTGCAACAACAGTACTAACAAACAGTAATTTACAAAGGGATACATAGGTATGCTAAATAGGTGTGGGAAGGTGTAAGGGAGTATACCCACCTGTAGATATAAATTAGGTTGTGGCTCTCTCTACATACATATTTGTAGATGTTGCATGTATACCAGTATAGACAATAGAACACACAAGGGACACAGTCATGGAAACTTCTTATGCATAACCAAATACCTCCCAGGATGAGAATACTAGGCTTAAAGGCTGAGGACCATAGACTCAAGGAACATCTACTTCAATTGGCATAACAGTGTATAAAAACAGTGTTCTACATCCTACTTTGGTGAGTAGCATCTGGAGTCTTAAAAGTTTGTGAGCAGCCATCTAAGATCCAACTAGTGGTCTCTTCCTATCTGGAGTAAAGTGAAGAAAACCAAAGACTCCGGGGAGCAATTCGTCCATAGTACTAATGGACCTCATGCACCACAGCCTACCCCACCCTGAGACCAGAAGAACTAGATGGTGCCCAGCTACCACTACCAACCACTCTGACCAAGATCACAGTAGAAGGTCCCAGGCAGAGTGGAAGAAAAATGTAGAACAAAAAATCAAATTCATAAAAAAAAGACTAGACTTAACTGGCCTGGTAGAGACTGGAGAAGCCCATGAGGCTATGGCCCTAAGACACCTCTCTGACTTGGAACTGCAGCCATTCCCAGAAACTACCTTCTAGCCAAACATTAGACAGGTCTATAAAATAAACAGTAACACCCAAAAAGAACATGCTCCATAGAACAAACAATTATACGAGACCAAAAGCGCAACATTTGCCCAAAAGTAAAGATGAGAAGGCAGGAAATGGGTAGGAAAACCAGACAAAAGGAAACAGGGAACCCAGGTCAGAAATGGGGAGAGTGTTGACATAGTGTGGGGATTGCAACCAATGTCATGGAACATTTCGTCTACAGTTTGTTGAATGGTAAACTAATTTGCTCTGTAAACTTTCACCTAAAACACAGGAAAATATTTAAAAAAATAAAAGTTTTCACTTTAAAAGTAAAATGCTAAACGATAAAGTCAGGGTCCAGATATGAATCAGAAAGACTGAGTAATTGACAGACTGTAAGAAAATAGAACAAATTAAACCTTCATACTAGTAATATTCCCCTAAAGTCGTATCATTCGACCAGGAGAAAATGAAATGAGGTCATCTAAGCATAAAATTAAGATACTAAGTGAATGAAAGGAGAGTGGTCTACACATTACAGTCACAAAGGGAGTTGAAGAAAGTATAGGATAAGTGAGTTATTCAGTTTTCATAAGAAGGAATCAGTAGATACTGTTTAAGTTGCTTTTCTCTTTTTAAGGTGTAATAAGTAAATTATATTTCTATTAATATGAATAGGCACTTATGAATGAGATAAAATTAAAACTAGTCATATATTTGTTTACTTGGGTTAAAATGTTTTTTATTCTTACAGCTTCTAAGACCACGGGAGAAAAAGTTGGGACTAGGTAAGTAGAACCTCTACGTCGCTCATACCTGCTACTTGCCTTGGTAAGATTATCCAATGGGTATTTTCCCAGTTTGGAACAAGGCCAAAATATAGTAACCTTCTATGATGTTTTTTAATAACATTTTAGTGGTTTTAATAACATTTAAGTGGTTTGAGTTAGGCTGCCTGTATCAGTCGGGCCCACTCAGGAAAACAGAAACCACTGTAAGTCTTTCAGTATACGGAATTTAATACCAGGAATCTGGTTGCACAGGTGAAGGAATTACTGAGAAGCCAAATTAAACAGTGAGGCTACTCAGATTAGTAACAGCTGGAGGCAGCTACCACCTCTAGGGATGGAGCAACAATGGAAGGAGATGGTGTTTTCAGAGCCCAGAAACCAGGGCTACCCTGTGGGAGTTAGAACCATGGCATGAGGGATACCTGGCAGGAACTGGAGCCATGGAAGATACCCAGCTGCTGCTGGGAGGCAGAGTAAGAGAGGTAGAGCACTTAGATTTTGCCCCTTCTCCCTTCCTGTAGTCTTCCCCCTGAACCCTCCCATTGGCCAAAGCTGTTGGGAAGCAGTTGACAGAGAACCTGGGCAATGTAGTTCCCTGCAATAGGGAAGGGCCAGAGACATTCTGGATCTGAAGGCAGACATTTTGGACCAGCACACCACCTTAGCTAGTAATTCTGAGATGAAAATCTGGATACCTTTTTTTCTGTTGTTGGTCACAGTTGCTTATGTTGAGAATTGGTATAATTTTAATGAAAAATTTTGGAGCTTGGAGGAAGCACTTTTTTTAATTGTAGTTTAAGTGAAAGTTTACAATTCAAGTTAGCCTCTCAAATAAAAATTTATCCATACATTGTTATATGACCCTAATTGCTCTCCCTATACTGTGACAGCACACTCCTTTCCACCCGATTTCCCGTGTCCATTCACCTAGCTCCTGACCCTCGCTGCCTTCTCATCTCACCTCTGGACAGGAGCGGAAGCACAGTTCTTAAGAGTTGAATACCAGCTATCCTGCAGACCACCAACTTATCAAATGGTTAAGAAATCTGAATCTACAAGGCTCTTTAGAATTGAAATAATCTGGGAACTGCCACAAAGGCAGCCAAGAATTATCAGTGATAAACCCAAAAAGTTGTAGATAATCACTACTTCACAAAAGAAGACAAAAGAGTTTAGCTTGCTAGTAAGATCTATGATGGTTTGGGGCTAGGGAATGCAAGTGACCCCAAATGCTGTTACTGACCAGTTACCCTTACCTGCCAGGTCCCTGAGGGACCTACAGGCATAAGGTGGCAGAGTAGCTGTTAGGTGTGTCTTTGGTCCCAAATATCAGAGCAGGACCCTGGTGTACCAAGCTTGCAGTGTAGAAGATGCTTTCTGGGTAGTTTTTGTGGATGTGGGCTTGGCATGTTGGGAAGCAGGAGCAGGGAGACTTGTTAGGTAGTGGTCTTAAGCATCAGAAGATGGTGCCTAGGACTAAGGTGAAGAAAAAGAATGGAATTGAGAGGTTTTGGATATAGAATGAATAGGACTTAATTTTAGTTTACAAATACGTGGTGAAGTCAGGAAATCAGGGATCATCCTAGACTTGTGGATGGAGGGACCAGATAGTTGGTGGTACCATTTCCTGAGAGGTAGCCTGCTTAGGGGTGAGGAATATAGAGTTGGTTTTAGAACATGTTATATTTGAGATTTCTGAATATCCAAGTGGAGCTGTGTACATGTGGAGTTCTGAAAAGAGGCTGGCCAGCTATATGGTATCAGAGTGACAACAGCAACTCAAAAGATTAGATAGGAAACTTAGGGGTCAGTGAGTTTATGTTAATGATAGAGGAACAGCTCAAAAAAGGAGGTGAGAATGGTTGTACAACTCAAAGAATGTAATCCATGTCACTGAACTGTACATGTAGAAACGGTTGAATTAGTGTATGTTTTGTTGTATGTTGTTGCTCAACAACAAAATAAAAGTAAAAAATAAATTTAAAAAAAAGAAGAAAAGACAGGTAGACACCAGGAAGCCCCAACATAAAGATGTTTTTTAAACCATGAGATTGTGATAATTTTTATATACTCTAAGACTTCTGCATTATTTCCTTGCTAAACTGAAACATAGGTTTAATCTTTTAAATCGGCATCTGAATTAGAGGCGGGAGGCCAGCTACCTTCTTGGCTCTCTGTCTAGTGTATGTGATCTGTATATTTTGGTGGAATAGTTACCAATTTATTAGTGTCACCTTTAGAGCACTAGCTTAGGCTGTTCAGGTGCTTAACAGTTTCCATCTTATTTAAATGTATACTTAAACATGTCTGTGATTCTGTTTTCATGGGTGTAAATACTTTTATTTTTAGGAACTGCATATATTCATGGGATGAAACATGCCACAGGAAATTACATAATTATTATGGATGCTGATCTTTCACACCACGTAAGTAGTTTATTTCTTTATTAGCTACTTATGGTAGTTTTTGCCTATTTTACTGACTTACTGTTTATTCTTTCTAAATTTCAGCCAAAATTTATTCCTGAATTCATTAGGTAGGTATTATTTCTAGTATTTGAAGGAATTATGATCCAAGCCATTTATTTTATATTGGTTTGGATTTATTTGCATTTTTCATTATTTATTAAAAATACACATGGTATTTTATATTTTCTATCAAAAATATAACCAGTAATATAGATTTGAGATTAATGTATTTAGAGATGTGACTAAATGATGTAGTTTAAGAGCCCTGAGGGACAGATCAACAGATAATTCCATTGTTACCTAAATTCTTCGAGACCACAGAAAAAGATGTAAGACTCGCTTGTGAAATGGAATTAAGCCCTGCATCATAAGAGTAAAACACCATGAACAAGTAGAATTTATTCCAGGAATGCCAGAATGGTTCATCCTCAGGAATCTGTCAACATAATTCATTTATCACATTAACCGAGAAAGCAGTTAATACTGTAGATGCTAAAATATATTTGATGAAATTCAGTAGCCATTTCTAATAAAAACTTTAAAGTAGAAATAGAAAACACTTAAACATGATACAGATGGCCCAGTCCTAACACAAAACATCTTACTAAATGGTGAAATGCTGAAGCATTTCCAGTAAGTTCATTGAGACAGGAATGCCAGCCATCATTCAACATGAGATTTTAAGTAATGCAGTAAAACAAGATCTAGTAAAATGTTGGTAAAGGATACCAAATTATAGTTATTTGCAGGTACGTAAAATGGGAGTAGTAATAGTAGTAGCATCAGAACCTGTCTAACTTCAGGGGGGATAATGAGAATCAAGATCAGCCCAAGGCTGGTCCCCGTGAGGTGGAGGTCAGACATACCTCCACTTTCCGCTCTTTTTACCAATTCTGACACCAGCTATCCCTCGCATGGCACTTTACTTCTCTTCTGGGTTCGATAATCTATTGCACTGGCCACACAGAACTCACAGACCATACTTACAGTTAAGTGGTTTATTAAGGAAGCAACAGGCTACAACTCAGGATCAGGATCAGGAAGCACGTAGGCAAAATCTCTCTTCTTCAGTGCAGGACAGCTCTCTCATCTTCTCTCAGCAGGACAGGCCTCCTCTTGGTGCTGCCGTATCTCACCATCTGACTTTGCCACAGGGCCCCTTCCAGGCCTGTCACTGCCAGCTCTGCCACTGGGCCCATTCTGGGCTTCTCACTGTCTTCAGCGTTACAGCCCTTAACCCATGTTACAGCTCTTTTAGGAGGTTCCTTGCCTTCTCTCTCTGCTTCTTCTCTTTCTTCCTGCTGCTTCTCTTTCTGCTTCTTTCTGTCTCAAAAATCTCTGTGGTGTTGGCTGCATATATACACAACCCCATGTCGATTTCAAGACATGACTTCCCCCACCAGTGGCGGCCTACGAACTGACCAGTCCCTTCTTGGTAAGCCACAGACACTTCATTTTGCATAGTATGTTATAGTCATCTCATTTGTATAGTCTATTGACCAATCCTTACAGGGTATATCCCAGTCAGAGGTCAGGCTGCAGCTCAGGGCCCACAAAATGTATCAAACCACAAGTTGTTTACAGCTTACCCAGGAAATGTCAGTCAACCTGGACAAAAGTAACAAACCCTCTGGAGTAGAAAACTAGGGCAGCGGTAACTCCTCAGGGCTTAGAGGAAAAATCTCTCAAACTATTTTTCCAGAGAACCAAGGCAAAAAGCCACATAAAGGAAGTCGTTTCCCCATAAGGTGATAAAACTAAATTCTTAGAAATCTCAAGAAACCACAAAACATCTCTCAGAATAAAAACTTGGAAGTTGTTCTGAATGTAAGCTAAATATACAAAACCAAAATCAGATCATGTCAGAACACTGCTGGAAATTTCTGTTATACATCGGGGGATAAAGTCCAGACTCCTTCCCTTGCCCTTCTGGGCCCTATGTGATCCGGCTCCTTTGTCCCTTTCTGAGCTCATCTTGTGCTCCCTCCCCCTTTGCGTACTATGCCACAGGCGTATTCTTTTTGTTTCTGTGTTAGTGCAGAGCTCTCTGTCCCCTTTGCCTGAAATGCTCTTTTCTTGCTTCTTAATGGCTAACTACTTCTTATCTTTGATCTCTGCGTAAAGTCACCTCACAGGCCTTCCCTGACCACCATATTTTTACCATAATCAGAGTTAAAGATCAACCAACTGAGACAAATACTTGCAGTCCACAATACAAAGGACTTATATCTCTAATACACAAAAGGCCCTTTAACTTGATAAGGAAATGGAACCAGTGGAATAGAAAATGGGTAAAATATTACAAACAGACTATATGTAGAAGTGCAAATGGCTTATGAACGTAAGAGAAGATGTTCAACCTGGGATGTAAGCAGAGAAATGCAAATTAAAGTAACTGCATGTTAACTATTTTATTACTCATTAGTTTGTCAAAAAACTTTGAGAGCAGTAACATCCAGTGCCAATGAAGACGGTCAGAAAATGGGCACACTCATTGCTGGAAGTGTGAGTTGCCATAACCTTTTTGGAAAGTAATTTCTGGTGCTATCTGTTAAAATTAAAAATACTCACAAGCTTTGTTTTAGCAATCCTATTACATTCCATCTTGTGGGGACTAAGCACTACGATATATAAGAATGCTGATTGTAGCACTATTCACATACTCCAGAAATAACCATCAAGGGTATGTGGGTTGAATATTTTCTGGACTGTTTTGCAGGCGTTAAAAAGAATAGGAAGGATCTCTACTGACTTGTATGCATGTCTGTGATGTGTATTGTGAACTGATGAAAAGTAAGTTGCAAAATGTGCTTTTTTGGATTCCAGTTTCAAAATGCAACCACTCTACGAGTCTGTATGTCTTTGAGTTACCTTTCCTAAGCAACGGGAAAGGTCTGGAGGAATATCAGGATGTTAACACGGGAGCAGGAACAGAGTGTGGCCCCAGGGGAGGGAGTTAATAATTTCATTAATACATTTTTGGATGGTTTCATGTGGTACAGTCAGCAGATACTATTATTTTGTAGTTTTAAAAATCAATAAAGAAAAAAAAATCAGACATTTAAAAACCCTGCTTTGAAAGAAGGTTTTTCAGTAGTATAGTCCATCTGTTGTCTTGGCTTTATGGTTTTTCTGTGCTGATTTTAAAAGCTCTCTGTGTTGCCAATGAACATAACCATTGAAAGCTCAATGGCTTTTTGTAATAGCTAATTTTTCCTACAGGAAGCAAAAGGAGGGTAATTTTGACATTGTCTCTGGAACTCGATACAGAGGAAATGGAGGTGTATATGGCTGGGATTTGAAAAGAAAAATAATCAGGTATATGTTTATGTGTGCTTTAATTTCTTTATCTTTTCGTGTGACTATTGCAAATAAATTCCTAACAAGTATTTGGGTTACATTGCCATGCTGTGTTGGGATTTGTGAGACTAGATGATAACTTCTGACAAAATATTCCCAGATAGTTTCTTCCCTACCATTTTTCCTATGGCTGGAGTATTTTATTAAGGGAACTATTTATATTTTTGGACTAAATAAGTATTTTTTCTGTATTTATATTTTTATCATTTTAAGTAAATAAGACACTTCAGGGTTTCAACTACTATTAAGCAGCATAAAGTAGTGAGGCTTTGGAGTCAAACAGACCTGGGTTCATACCCTGGTTATGTCGCTTATCTATGTCATGTTGCGTATTTTGCCTTTTTTAAGCATCATTTCAATTAGAAAATTTTTTTAAAATCCATAAGAGCCAAAATAAAACCTTGAGTATATCCTTGAGCATCAAAAGAAGATGGAAGGAATACACAGAGTCACTGTACCAGAAAGAATTTAGAGACCTGAATTTAGAGACTATCTCAAGAATAGATTTGACGCATCAAACACTGTTGACTAAAGGCCAGACAAGTTGCAAGTTGTGGAATGACATCAAGGACATCATACGTGAAGACAGCAAGAGGTCATTAGAAAGACAGGAAGGAAAGAAAAGACCAAAATGGGTGTCAGAAGAGACTCTGAAACTTCCTGTTGAACATAGAGTAGCTAAAACAAAAGTAAGAAGTAATGGAGTAAAAGAGCTGAACAAAAGATTTTAAAGGGCAACTTGAGAAGACAAAGTAAAGTATTATAATGAAACGCACAAAGACCCAAAGTTAGAAGACCAAAAGTAGAGAACATGCTGGGCATTTCTCAAGCTAAAACCACTGAAGAAAAAATTCAAGCCTCAAGTTGCAGTATTGAAGGATCCTATGGGGAGAATATTGAACAACGCAGGAAGCATCAAAAGGAATACACAGAGTCATTGTACCAAAAAGAATTGGTCGACATTCAACCATTTCAAGAGGTAGCATATGATCAAGAACTAATAGTACTGAAGGAAGAAGGCCAAGCTGCACTGAAGCATTGGTTAAAAACAAGGCTTCAGGAATTGATGGAATACTAATTGAGATGTTTCAACAAACAGATGCAGAGCTGGAGGTACTCATTCATCTCTGCCAAGAAATTTGGAGGACAGCTGCCTGGCTAACCTGTTGGAAGAGATCTATATTTGTGCTCATTCCAAAAGAGGTGATCCAACAGAATGCAGAAATTATCTAACGATATTACTATCACAGACAAGTAAAATTATGCTGAAAATCATTCAAAAGCAGTTGTAGCAGTACATCAACAGGCAACTGCCAGAAATTCAAGCCAGATTCAGAAGAGGATGTGGAACAAGGGATATCATTGCTGGTGTCAAATGGATCATGGCTGAAAGCAGAGAATACCAGAAAGTTGTTCACCTGTTGTCATGGATTGAATTGTTTCCCCCCAAAATATGTGTCAACTTGGCTGGGCCAGTATTCCCAGTATTGTGTGATTGTCCACCATTTTGTCGTCTGATGTGATTTTCCTTTGTGTTGTAAATCCTGCCTCTGTGATGTTACTGAAGCAGGATTGGAGACAGTTACGTTAATGAGGCAGGACTCAATCTACAAGGTTAGGTTGTGTCTTAAGTTGATCTCTTTTGAGATATAAAAGAATTGAGCAGAGAGACATGGGGGACCTCATACCACCAAGAAAATAGTGCCAGGAACAGAGTGTGTCCTTTGGACCCAGGGTCCCTGCGCTGAGAAGGTCCTAGTCCAGGGGAAGATTGATGACAAGGACCTTCCTATAGAACCGACAGGGAGAGAAAGCCTTCCCCTGGAGCTGGCACCCTGAATTTGGACCTCTAGCCTCCTAGACTGTGAGAGAATAAATTTATCTTTGTTAAAGCCATCTACTTGTGGTATTTCTGTTATAGCAGCAATAAATAACTAAGACACTTGTATGTTATTGACTGTGCAAAGGCATTTGGCTGTATGGATCATAAGAAATTATGGATAACATTACAAAGAATAGGAGTCCCAGAAACACTTAATCGTGCTTATGTGTAACCTGTACATAGTCTAAGAAGCAGTCGTTCAAACAGAACAAGGGGATACTGCGTGGCTTAAAGTCAGGAAACGTGTGTGTCAGGGTTGTATCCTCTCACCATACTTATTCAGTCTGTATGTTGAGCAAATAATCTGAGAAGCGCTGGACCATATGAAGAATAATGCACATCAGGATTGGAGGAAGACTCATTAACAGCTTATATGACTACATGACTATATGAAGAAGAACGCAACATCAGGATTGGAGGAAGACTTAACAACCTAAGATATGCAGATGACACAACCTTGCTTTCTGAAAGTGAAGAAGGGTTGAAGCACTTACTGATGAAGATCAAAGACTGTACAGCCTTCAGTACGGACTGTACCTCAACATAAAACAAAAAATCCTCACAACTGGACCAATAACATCATGATAAATGGAGAAAATATTTAAGTTGTCAGTGACTTCATTTTACTTGGATCCACAATCAGTGCCCATGGAAGCCAGTCAAGAAATCAAAGGACATATTGCGTTGGGCAAATCTGCTGCAAAAGACCTCTTTAAAGTGTTAAAAAGCAAAGATGTCACTTTGAAGACTAACGTGCGCCTGACCCAAGCCATGGTATTTTCAGTTGCCTCATATGCATGCAAAAGCTGGACAATGAATAAGGAAGACTGAAGAATAATTGATGCCTCTGAATTATGGTTTTGGCAGAGAATATTGAATATACCATGCACTGCCAAAAGAATAAACAAATCTGTCTTGGAAGAAGTACAGCCAGAATGCTCCTTCATCTCACGTACTTTGGGCATGTTATCAGGAGGGACCAGTCCCTGGAGAAGGACATCATGCTTGGTAAAGTAGAGGGTCAGCAAAAAAGAGGAAGCCCCTCAGCGAGATGGATTGACACAGTGGCTGCAGCAGTAGGCTCAAGCATAACAATGATTGTGAGAATAGCACAGTACCAGGCAGTGTTGTGTTGTTGTACATAGGGTCACTATGAGTTGGACCGACTCAACGGCACCTAACAACAACAAGCTTCACTTTTCTCACAATGTGGAAATAAAACGTATCTGTGCATAACAAGCCACACGAAAGCTTAGTGGCGTCAAACAACGTTGATTTATTATATCTCACAGTGCTGTGGGTTGGCCGGTCATTCCTCTGCTGGTTTCACCTGGGTTCATTCACGCAGCTTCCTTCAGTGGGAGAGTCAGCTGTGCTGGAAGCGCCAGAATGGCCTCACCTATAGTCCAGCAGTTGGTGCTGGCCGTTGGCCTGGGGCATCTCAGTTCTGCACGTGGCCTCTTGTCAACCTGAAAGCTAGACTGGCTTCTTTACAAGCCATTCTCAGGGCAGCATCCAAGAGTACAGAGGTGGAAAGCTGCCTCTAGAGGCCTAGGCTCTGGGGCTTGCATAGCGTCAATTTTTGGTCAGAGGAAGCCCATAATCAAGGGGTAGGGAAATAGAATCCACGTCTTGATAGGAAGACCTGCAGAACATTTTTGACATCATAGCTTATCAAACTTTCAGAGTTGTTGGGAAGATGAGATGAGTTTCTGTCTATAAAGGGTCTATATACCCATTGCTGTGAAGTTGATTCTGACTCATAGTGACCCTGTGGGACCGAGTGGAACTGCCCCATAGGTTTTCCAAGGCTATAAATCTTCACGGAAGCAGATCGCCAGGTCTTTCCTCTGCAGAGCCAGTGGATGGGTTTGAACCTCTAACCTTTTGGTTAACAGCCAAGTGCTTAACCACTGCACCATCAGGACTCCTAAAAAGTCTACATGTAGCTTTTTTCTTTTTATATAATAATAGATAACATTTATAGAAATCCTTACTAATGTTGATATTTTTTATCACCCACTTCAATCCTATTGAAAATTTCATTAAGTTAATCTCAGTTCTGTCCCTTGACTAACTGTAGAACTTTGGGCAAGTCATTTAAAACATTTAAGAGCTTCAACAGCTTTCTCAGTGAAATGAAGAGGTTGGATTAAGACAGTGGTTTTCAACCCCAGTTAAACATTGGAATCATGTAGGGATAAAAACATACACAACTGCTCCCTTTTCCTTGTTGCATTTTAATGAAGAGATCTTCATTTAAAAATCCATTAACTGTAAGCACACACATATATGCACACACACACACACTCTCACACTCGTTTGCTTAAACCCATTTGTGGGGGTGAACTGCACCCTGGAATTTTTTTTGTAGCTGTTAGAAGCAAACTGAGGGGGGAGAATGTGTTTTTTAGCCATTAGCCCTATGATATCTGCTTAAAGAAATAGTTACTGTCGAGGCAATTCCAACTCATGGTGACCCCATGTGTGTCGGAGTAGAACTGTGCTCTGTAGGGTTTTCACTGGCTTGATTTTTCAAAAGTAGATTACCAGGCCTTTCTTCTAAGGTGCCTTCGGGTGGACTCAAACCACCAACCTTCTAGTTAGCATCTGAACACTTAACTGTTTGTGTCACCCAGGGACTCCATGACATCTGCCTAACCTCATGCTTACTTATATAATCTTTCCATGGAGGGCCTTGGTGGTTTCCTTGGCTTTGGAGAGGAACTTTTCTCTCTGGGCTGCCCCTGAAAGCCCTGAGGACACTCAAACAGCTGCAGTACAAAAGTCACTTTCTCCAGGCACTTTGACATCTTTTGAAATGTTGGTATTCACTGTTAGTCACTAATAGCTTGTCATTGACTGATACTCAGTTGTGTTTGAAGCACATTCCCTAACGTCGTGGAATGAGCCTAAGGTCAATTTCCAGGGATTGCCAAACACCAAAACTCTTTCCCACTTAGGCACCTTCTTTGGAAGAAAGAAAACCATTTTTATGGAGACTGACTTGTTACCTTGGTGGAAACACAATCACATTGTGCTCATTGGCATCTGAAAAGGAAACTCAGTGCCAAATCCCTGCTGTCTTGCTGACAGATGTTCATATTTCTAAATAATAACTGTTGGTAGATACTATCAGAGCTTATTTAAAAATCTGTTTCAGTTCTTAGAGTTTGGAAGGATGGTTCATTGTGAGTCCCTTCAAAATTTCATTTTTCCAAAGAAGAAACATCCCTGAGTTCTGTAAAAAAAAAAAAAAAAAAAATGAGAAGTATCAGATCTCCTTTCATTGACTAAAAGATTCTCTTTTTTCGAGTGAATTAACATTTTTGTGGAGTTAGTAAGGCATTTTTAGCACTCTACTATTGGATGTGTTTCTCCAGAATAAACTGTATTTTATAAAGAAAATTTGATTGTTTTTCTCTGGCAGCCGTGGAGCCAATTTTATAACACAGATTCTGCTGAGACCAGGAGCATCTGATTTAACAGGAAGTTTCAGGTACAGTGAAAACTCTTAATTTTGTATTATTTACTCTTTATAACTTCTTGCCTAAACTTCTTGCTTTATAATGCCTGATTTCAAAGAAATGCTTTGTATTTTTAACCCCGTTTTTGTTATGAAAAGTTAAAAAAGCAGACTGAAGCTCCTGAGAAGCCGATAATGAATTCTAAGCTCCTTTTTAAAGGGAGAAATATTGTGCTATTTAAAGCACATCAGTGGCAGGGCTTAGGTTACTGTGCTTGTTACCACTGGTATCAATACTCAGCCCCTAGGAGGACCATCAAGGGCCCGAGGTCGCCACTCACTGCTCGTTCAGAACAGAACTGTTACTGATAATGTGCTCCAAAGAACCACACACAGTCCAGTGATCTTCTGCAGTTTATGAGTATAGCATTCTCTGCAGAAAAGTTTAAAAGCTTTAACATTTGTGTACAGCTTTTTTAATTATCTTGTTCTCCAGATGTCCAAAAAATTCCTTGTTTAATTGGACCAAACCTTCCTGCTGTTCTAGGTCCCTCATGTTTTTGCATGTTTGTTTTGGGGTTTTTTGGTTGGTTGTTTTATAATTTTAGACTTGTTACAGTAGCTGAACTGCTTTCTATGACCATGCCAAGTGACTAAAGACTGCCACATTTTTTATCTAAAAACATAAAATACCTGTTCATCTCTTCTGAGATCCAAACCCCATCCCTTAGTTAATGATTTATATTACCTGCTTTTTCTTTTCCATTAAATGAGGTTAATTCTTAGGTCCTTCGTTAAATACAGGAAAATCTAGGTCCTTAAGTGTCACAGTTGACAAAAATAAATAAATAAATTAGGAGCTAGCTGTTGAAAGTAACTAGTACCTCTAGTGCAACTGCAGGTGTGTTGAATAGCAGTTCAAATAGTGAGATGGTGTTTCAAAAGCAAAGACAGAAGCCATCACAAATTAGAGGTCAAATGAAAATGAAGCCTCTAGAATTAAAATCAATTAGAAAGCAGAATTTGGTATACAAAAGACAGATAAACCAAAACCCAAACCGGTTGCCATTGAGGTCATTCCAACTTTTGGCGATCCCATGTGTGTCAAAGTAGAACTGTGCACCATAGGGTTTTCAATGGCTGATTTTCAGAAGTAGATCACCAGGCTTTTCTCCCGAGGCACCTCTGGGTGGACTCGAACATCTAACCTTTCAGTTAGCAGCTGAGCGCATTAACTGTTTACACCACCAGGGACTCCAAAAGATAGATAACTCATTGCCATCGAGTTGATTTCAACTCATAGCAACCCCGTAGAACAGAGTGAAATGCCCCACAGGGTTTCCAAGGCTGTAATCTTTATGGAAGCAGACTGCCACATCTTTCTCCTGCAGAGTGGCTAGTGGGTTCAAACTGCCAACCTTTCTGTTAGCAGCTGAGTGCTTAACCACTACGGAACCAGGGCTCCTTCAAAAGATGGATAAAAACCAAAAAAAAACAAACCCATCGTCATCAAGTTGATTTCGACTCATAGTGACCCTGTAAGACAGAGTAGAACTACCCCATAGGGTTTGCATGGAGCACCTGGTGGATTCGAACTGCTGACCTTTTGGTTAGCAGCTGTAGCTCTTAACCACACCACCACCAGGGTTTCCAAAAAGATAGGGGCCCTATAAAAACATCACTTCAGTTCTACACTTCAAGGCAAAAGAGTAATGCATTATCTAATTAAGGTTTCTGACTGCACGTGGCAACAATGCAAAGAGTAGTGGTGCTCCCAAAATCTCTGTAAAGAGGGACTGGCCAGTGTGGATTTCACAGGCCCTGGTGTGATTGTTTTACAGTGAAGAGCTAGGGAACTTCCATGGGCTGTGGAGATGGGGGCTTTGCTTTTCAGCCTAGTTCCCCTAGTCACTTCATCAAAGGGCCGCTCACCTCCAGAAAGCTCTGCACACAGGAAATATTTTTGATCGTCTTCTGTGTGCCAGAAGAGTAAAAATTCCCTGTCCTCATGGACTTTACACATTTTAATGGGGTTAGACCCACACTTGGGTAAAATATATGCAGTGTCATATGTGGATTATGCTGTGGGAAAAAACAGCAAGGAGAGTAGCAGAACCATCTGGGGATGGGGGAAGGGGAGGGAGAAAAATGACCTGGAGTTCTGGATTCCATGTAGTGAGAGCCATGGTGAGGTATGCTCTCTGCAAATGACAGAGAAAAGTGAGCTGGATAAAAACATGCTTAAAAAAAAAATACTTGAAAACTCTTATCTCCTCAAAAGAGTAGTGATTTATTAAAAACATGCATTTATTATTATTTATTAAATATATGCATCAAAGTACAAATTGTCATTAGAAGGCGTGTGTCTTTTATAAAACAAGAAAAGGAATCTGAAAAACACTGCAATCTGCCCTAAAGCCATTTAATAGCAAAGACCACCTAGATCCTAATTATCCTATTTATTGGGTTATATGGCTTCGTGTATGTGATTTTACTTCATTAGCCATCATCTTAAAGGTATGTGGTGGGAGAAGGGGTAATGAGGAGAAACAAATGTCTTAGAAAGTGATTCTTAAGGAGAATAAAATAACAAAGGAAAGAATTCCTAGTCAAATCCCAAATTTAAAGATTGTGTTATAAAATACTGTTCTGTCGCCAGATAGTCCTCCCCACCCCATGATTCCATCCTTCTTCCCCCACTTAACACCATCTGATGTATTACATATCTTTATTTAGTTTCTAGTTCACTGCATGAAAACCTGCTAACCTGTTGCCATCGAGTCGATTCCGACTCATAGCAACCCTATAGCACAGAGTAGAACTGCCCCCATAGGGTTTCCAAGGAGCAGCTGGTGGATTTGAATTGTCAATCTTTTGGTTAGCAGCCAAGCTCTTAACCACTACACCACCAGGGCCACAAAGCATGAAAAGGTGCCTGAAATACAGTAGGTTGGTCGATAAACATGTTTTTGAATATATATTACCACCATCAGATTCTCCTCCTTCAGACTTCTTCCAAACTTACTCTTTTGAATGCTTCTGGAACCTGTGCACACACCAAGTTCTCAGTTTTTCTCAGGACCATGCTGTCTGGTGTCACTTACCCACTTAAGAGCCTTAGAGGAAGCATGAGGGAAAAAAACGAGGGTTCCAGTTAAAATCCTTCAGCATTGTAGATGCAGGTGACCTTAACAGTCATGCCAAACTCTTCTCCTGGCCTTCTCAAAAAATGTAGAGGAGGTAGAAATTGCTGCCTCTACCCACTGGGACTCTAATCTTTTTCTGACCTTCTTCTCCCTCTTCCATTCAAAGAATGACTGGAGAAGTGATTGGGTTGCCCATAGGCCTTAGACTTCCCAGGTCCTCTGTCTTAGGTTGTAAATTTGGGGACCTCTGTGTTTGGTTTGCAGTCCATCTCAAGTTAGGCCATACATTCACCCTTTATGAAAGTTTAACAGGTTGTAGCTGAAACTGGTTGTGGGGCCTAGTTCCTGTCTTAACCTAACTGACAACCAAGCTCATCCTAGAGGGACTCAAGAAGATCTTTCTCAATTACTGGGTTCTTTCTTTCCATCTAGTTTATATGGTCATTTTACCAATTTCTGTCAACTCTATTGTTCCAATATTTTGGAACAGGTTCTCCTCTTTCACTTTAAAAGTAAATTTTAAGAAAATTTAAAACCTAAAAATAATGGGAGGTTCTGCTTCAAATGATTCACTTTACCATATTTTAATAATTTCTGATAGTATGATAATTCTCTAAAAGAATTCATTTTCAAAATGATTTAGCAAATTATGACAAATATAATCATCAATTATGAAAACTTTCTATATACAAATTGGTAGTGAAAGTTTTAGGCTCTACAAATACCAACAAACATTTTCAATGGTCAAGATACGTAGGCAAGTGCATTTATCCAGGTGTTCATATATAATTTTAATTCCTTACAGATTATACCGCAAAGAAGTTCTACAGAAATTAATAGAGAAATGTGTTTCTAAGGGCTATGTTTTCCAAATGGAGATGATTGTCCGGGCAAGACAGTTGAATTATACTATTGGTGAGGTATGGGATGAAAATTCTTCATAAATTCTTCATAAGGAAACAGTAAGATTTAGACTTTTTATAATAAATTATTTTAATTTTCATACAACTAAATTAACGTGGAAGGCTTCTAGTTGTTTAGACTGTCCGTGTACTCAAGAATAAAAATTCAAATCCCTTTTAAATGTGCCTGACCAGCCAAGGTTTAACACATTAACAGAAGGGAGCACTCACATTAAATAATTAAATGTTGCTGGTACCTTCTCCATCCTGGCCCTTTCTTCTGACCATCACTATTGGTGGAATGAGTCTCTTATTGTTTTTCCTCTTGCCGTAGCCAACAGCCACCCTACTTTAAAGTGAATGGTGCATCCTATGTGCCCATTTCTGTGAGTAGATGAAAATTACTAGGGATTACCGAGCAAGACAGAGAAATATCTGAATATTTAGGGTGAGCCAGTGAGCTCTTTGGGAAGGTGGCCCTCATTTAACACTGATATTCTTAATCAGAGGAAGAAAATGGCCAACCTGAAATGTCACTTCTCTTGTGGTAGTTATAATAAGCCTTTTCACATAATGCTAAAACATAGTGATAGCTAAATTTGACACATAACGAAAAAAATTCAGTGAAAGGCCATTTTACTTGTGGAGTATAGTTTTTCCTTGAATTGCAGCAAGACTGACTTTAATGTATTTTTTTTTTTTAACAAGGTTCCAATATCATTTGTGGATCGTGTTTATGGTGAATCCAAGTTGGGAGGAAATGAAATCATCTCTTTCTTGAAAGGATTATTGACTCTCTTTGCTACTACATAAAAGAAAATTATTCATGTATATTTATCATGTTCATTTCCATTAAAGCATAAAAGAAGCCTGGTTGATGATTTTTATAAAATGTACTCTTAGAGCCTAAATCATAAGGTAAGGTAAATTTCATGTAAATTTTTTTTTTCTGAAGAAACTCCTCCATTTAATATTTCAAATTAAATTAGGAAAAATGAGTTTTCTCAATTTTCATTTACATTTTACCATATTATGAGTTATAAATAAATGTACATGATTTTATTTTGCATAAAATATTGCTACTTTCATTAGAATATGTGAATGCAGAATTTGTTATATGGGGAAGAGTTTAAAATATTTTTTATAAAAACTAAATTCATAGCTCTTTGTACTTAACATATGTCAGAAGAGGAATGTTAATTATTCTCATGAGATGTAAATGGCTGTTCCTGTATGAACGGGGGAAAAAAAATACACACCTTTGCCCTTTCCTCAAAAATGTATCCCAAATTTCTTAAACCAGCTAAAACAATACATTTAGGACAAAATTTTAAGGTTTTGGTTCTTTGCAGCTATTGAATTGATGAAATATTTCATCTACTAAAGCAAATCTACTTAAAGTATGTATTATGAATTGGAAACGGCATGGTGGCAGTTGACTGCATAGCTGGTTTGGTTTTTTTTGTTTTTTTCCTCTTCTAAGCAATAACCTCTATCAGTAACGAAAAATATTGAAAACACTGAGGCACAAATTAAGCTGCTATAGTAATTTTTAAATATAAAGATTTTTTTCCTCAAAATATTTGTTTTCATATTATTTCAAAACCCTCACCAAAGCACACATTTTTACTAATATGATAAAAATCCCTTCCCTGTAGCTCTTCTCTCCATTCAGAAAGTCATTCTGACAGTTAAAATACAGGTTGTTTAATAAAACCCAGTGCAAATATTCTGTTTACTTACCTTCTCTAAAGGTAGGGCTATTTGAAAAAGGTCAGTTAATTTCTAATGGTACCATAGATTTTGGATCATGCTGTATCTTTTAAAGTTTAGATAAGACATATTTTGAGCAAATAAGATCAAGTTGATTTGACTTTGCAAGTGAAAGGAAGAAGCGTGTGTAAGTTATTTAATAATCCTATCTAGTGAACAATGTGCCTGATTACTATGTTTTCCAGGTTTAATTTGGCTGCCAAAGCAATTTAAAGTCTGACTGGTCATCTGCATTTCTGTCAAACAGATCCTACCAGAAATGAATGCCAGAGTATAAATTCTTTGGTGGTGTTTTGAACATTAAAATCCCCTCCCCTCCCCATAGTTGATTGCATAGTACACATTCCAGTAAGGGCCACTATTTCCCTTTTGCCTAGAGCTATTCAACTGACCCACCAGGGACCCACCTTTATTTCAGAAATGGTTTCTCTCATGAGGATCTCATTAATAACTAGAAAATTCATCAGTGTTTGATGTAAACTATAGTTTTAAGATAACATAATAGAAATGTAAATATTCTCAATGTTTTTGAGTGTTATTCTGTTCCAAATATACTCTTTCTAACCTAAATCCAAAGTTTTCAGTATCAAGTGTGTGGAGCAGAGACTAACTACCTCAGAGAACCCACAATAAAGTGTTGCCTTTCAGACCTCACTAGAGTAGGCAATTTTTGTCTTTTTAATCTTTTCAGTTCTTATTCCCACAATTATTACTACATTACCACTATTGGAATTTATTGTAAAGAAAGTTTTTGAGCAGTCATTTAGAAAAGAATCTAGACTATATAGATGTAATTTTGTAGTAAATCTGATGACTTAAATACTGTAAATCTCTTTAAACATTTACATCTGAATCCAGCATCCCTTTTTGCTTTACAAGGAGGTCAAGGATGAAATCAAATGTTTTCCCTTTGTATTTTTATGACCATAGAATGAAATCTAAGCATATCTAAGAAAAACTAAAGATAAAATTTGCGATTTTATATTAGCTTTTGCCTGTCTTCTGCTATGTGTAATGGAATCCTCTGAATCAAATGCTTTGCCCCACCCTTAAAAAAAAAAATTTTTTTTTTCAGCCATTGTTTTCTCTTGAGGTACTGATTTGGTTTTTATAGATAGGTTTTTATCACAATTTCAGAAATTAACGGAATACTATGTTAAATAAAAGTTTGTTAAACTAGCTAACCATAGTCTTAGACCTTTAGCTGTATATAACCACAATTTATACTATTTTCAGTTTAGTCAGATTCTTCTGAGATGTTAAGTATGGCTTGAAAAATAGCAAAATACAAGTGTAAACAGCACATGTTTAGAAAACAGGCTAAGTGAATCCTTCCCTGTTGGTAATTTTTTACTTTTCAATATGCGTAACCAAAGATACTCTCAGATGTACTCTACTATAAAAGGTGGGTTCAAAAATGTTGATGTGTATTGGTTGGGGTTGGCCTAAATTTACATAGGCAAAAACTCTGCGCTGTTTCAAGCTATCCAGATGGAGAGCGCGAAACGTCATTGTGCCCAGGAGCACAAAGTGTAGTTTTCAAGGATCTTGTGGAGGCCCACTGGCAACGGCTTCACTAGTCCAGTGGCCTCAAAACACTAGGGATTCTATTTGTTTTCTTCAGGCCAAAAAGAGGAGTTCATCCCCGACTTGGAAGGAATGGCAAGTCCCAGGACAACAGCCAACTTATGTAAAAATAAGCCCCATTCACCAAATACCCAGCAGGAAGTGGTCGGGTCATCCATGGGGTTGTGGCTCATCTCAAGTCGCGTGAACCAGGCCCTCACACCTCATTTAAGGCAGGAGGCGTCAGGCACCACGAGCCAGGTGCCCTGCCTCTTCCCGCCCCTGTCCATCCTGTAGGCGTGGGGCCTCGGAGCACGTGGAGCCGCCCCAGGCCTGCCCCGCACACCCCCTCCCGCCAGATGTAGTCCAGGCCCAGCTGGGTCCGCGCAGGGATTTCCAGCACGGCCACCTGACTGAGTGCTGGGCGTGCTGCGGCCGATGCTTCTGCCTCCGCCACCAGCCCTGCGACCAGAGGAAGGCGCCCGCCTTGCACACGGGCCCTGGAAGCGCACTGCGGCCATTATCCGCGGCGCCTCCTAGTGGGTCAATGGCAAATCCTCGTGGTTCTCGCGAGAGCTCCCTCTCAGTGGGATTATATAATTCCCCTCAGGCAGAGTGGGGAAGTGGTGGTGGCACCCTCCCTCAGAAAAAGTTAGGAGCAAGAATAGTGGGGAGTAAGAAAGGGATCCCTGGGGTTTTGGGGTAAAGGGGGTACTGTTCCCCCACTGCCCCCCCCCCGGCTGGACAATGAGTCCTCTTATGCTAATGAGGCACTTACGTCATTTCCGCTCTTTCTCGGCCGCCATTTTGGCTAGGGCAGGTTCGGGGACTCGCTCTCAGGCGCTTGTATTGTCTGCTGAGGGGAGACGCGGGATCAGCCCCCTCCCCCGCCCGTTGCCGCCGCCGCCTCCGCCGGCCCGGTCTCCCCTCCGCCGCCCGCCGGGATCCATGAGCTGAACTCCCGCCCCCGTCGCCGCCATCTTGTGCCCCCTCCCCCTCCCGCAGGCAGCGCTAAGGGGGATTTTGGCGTCTCCTCAGGCACAGCTCCCTCTCTCGGTCCCCGCTGCTGAGGAGCGAGAGGAGCGCGGCCGCCGCCAGCCTGCCTGCGCCGGTGAAGCCGCCTCTCCCCACACCCTCCGTCTCCTCCCTCCGCCCCTCCTTTGTCTGCACCGCTCGACGACGCTGCCGCCGCCGCCGCC